AATTTAAAAAAGCTATCCCTGAAACAGGCCGTGAAGGCTCATATGGTTGTGAGATGTTGAGACCCCCACATTTTGTAGACAATCGGCTCACAAGTGGCGGTGAGGTTTTCAGCCATACACGCCGGCCGCCCTTTATCCCCCAGTAAGATTCATGGTAGTCATTTCTGTTATAGCCTGAGTCGACCCTAAGGTCATAGTGAGGTTGGAAGTATTAGGCATATTGAAAAAATCCACCTCATGAGAATTCCATCCCCCGACCTTCCGGCCTGTAGCACAGTGCCTCAACCAACTACAGTACCGCGTGCCCCAGTTATAGATGTCCAATCTAAATTAAAGCATGAAATGGCTTAACATTTTTTCGTAAAATTTTCAGATATAAAATGTTATGAAAATCCGTCAAATATTTTTTTATTTGTTCGACGCGTGCGAAGGAACGAAAGATTTTCTGGCGCTCCATAGGTTTGTGAATGCGCCCAGACATATTCAGATCACTGAATGGTGCTCATTTAAATATTTAAGCTTGTAGTTATTACTGTTAATATGTTCACAAAAGACTTTCGAAGCAGCTAGTGCACTCCGAAGTTCACTGTACAAAGGACGTACATGCTGAGTACACTTCTGCATGGATTACTTATGCCCGGTTTTGTTTTATAACAAAGAAAAATATACATGTGTCTTATTGTTTGAACCTAATAGATTCTGATTAAATTTGGTACTATTAACATTATGCCTTTAGGAGTCTCTCCACTGTTATTTTATTTTTTTATTTATTTTTTTTTTAATTTTTCCTTGCCACTGCAGCTCCAGTGGGCCTAGGCATACCTCCATGAACCTCTCCACTGTTATAAACTTTAATTTTATACCACTGCATAACAGCATAGAGATCGCAGTATAAATCTTTAATGAGGGAGAGGAATTAGAGCCACTAGGTGGATGGTAGGTATACTAAAATGTCTTGTAATAACAAAATCTTAAAGAATACTCAACCCATTTTAAAACAAGTATTTTTTAACGTGAAACGTAACACTTAGATTGCGATGTGATGTGATTAATTTCGTATGAGAATACCAACATTTCCGGACGTTCAGTCTCCGTAATTTATGAAGTTCTGAAATACTGATATAGAAAAAACTGAAGTTGCAGGAAGTGATTTCCGTCGTGTTGGAGAAACATAATGTAAGGTTACTAGGTAACATCTAACTACTTAACCTTCCACTAGCATCGTGAAGTCGCGGAACGCGCTCACGCACGCGCACACAAGTCCTTCGCAAGTATTTTCGTATTTGCAGAAGCTGACCTAAAAGTTCGAGGTAAACTTCGTGTATCAATCTCGGCTCGTGCGTCTGAATATTTAATAAAATTAGGATATTCGGAAACTTCAATCCTCGTCCTTAGGGAAGACACTGTATTGCAATTGAGAACTTGGCACCGAGGGAAATGTTTTGGCCCTTGGGATGAGGACGTAAACCTAATAAACAGCCGAAAGAAACCTAATATTGAGGAGTTTCATAATTTGTAACGTAACCTTTACTGCTGATATAGCGTGGAGGAACGCGGCAGCGCAGTTGGTTGAGGCACTATGCTACAAGCCGGAAGGCCGCGGGGTCGATTCCCGATGTCATTGGGGTTTTCAACCGAATTAATCCTTCCAGCCGCACTATGGCCCTGGAGTCGACTCAGCCTCTAACAGAAGTGAGTACCAGGAATCTTCCTGGGGGTAAAGATCGGCCGCCGGTTAAGGCTGTCAACCCTACCGCCATCTGTGAGTCGACTGTCTAGAGAAAATGTGGCAGTCTCAATGTCTCACAACCCTATAGGCCTTCGTGGCCTGTTACAGGGATAGCTTTATCTCTATTAATATACCGTATTACTTCGAATATAAGACGCCCACGAATTTAAAAAACCATCCAGTTTCTGAATGTGAGTTTTAGGAAACAAATATATTACAAGGTAAAATTTCCGTCAATACAACACGCGTGGTTTTACAATCAATTAATATTCAGATTGAATTTTATTTTCTACCGCTCCAAGTTTCGGTCCTCATGAAACCATCGTCAGGAAGTATTATGATTTTACGGCTAAAGTTACTGAACTCGTAAATTTGGATCCATATTTAGTGCTACACGTAGCGGCCTCCGTAGTCTAGGGGTAACGTTACCATCTCATGACTCAAGGTACGCGGGTTCAAACCCGGCGGAGTTCGTGGAATTTTTAAGGGCGGAAAAATTCAGGGAACAAGTCCTCCGGGAGGGACTTTAAGCCGTGGGTCCCGTGTCGTAGCTTTACGGCACGTAAAAGAACCTCATATCTCAAGGAGACCACTGAGCCACNAATAATAATAATAATAGTGCAACACGTCCATATTATAAAGTTATGCCTATGTTAGAATGTAAGAATTACAATATTGACCTTCTTAAAATACGTATTTATAGTATACAAAAAAATATATTAAAAGTATCGAAGATTAATAATATGTTGGAACGATATTATATATTACAAGATAAAGCAGTGAGAATAAAACTGATTAAAATATGAATATATTAAACTTATTAGGAAAACTAGAAAACAGATTAGAAAGGATCAAATTCCTCGAATTTAAAAGGCACCTCAATTTTTCAACGGGAGAAAAAATGCGTAAAATATTAATTCACTTCTCGTATACGCCTTCGGCACGGACCACGTAGGAAACACAGCTTCTATTGTTGAAATGTCTTTAGCGAACCATTGGATAGCAACGGCCGCGGCATGGACTCCATAGAAAGCCAGTCACATGATAGCCATCTCGCCAGCGCATTGACGCGCTGACTGTTGCCCAGCAACGAACTATAATAGGACACTTTAAAACTGCAAGATGTTATATATGAATATTAAAGTCTGGTCCGTTCCCTAGTGGAGACCCGATTGTTAAATCCTGCAGTTAACACAGACCAGAGGTTATAAAATCATAAATTCTGACACCCATTTGCCCCGTTTATCCTATACATGCTCGCAGTGTGTAAATAATTTTCACCAAACAGTCAATATCCGTTATGTTTCCACATGGGTTAAAATTCTGTCGCTAATTTTGTTCCAGTTACATGGCCGATTCACGCGTCACGATAACGTACGTGTTCAGCCTCCCATTACAGACGCCGTCGCATATTTTGTTGGGTTTGAGGTTCTCATAGCGGGACTGTGAAGAGTACTCCCATCCAGGATGCGACACCGTTCTCCGACGTTTCGGAGGAAACATACATCAATCTTAGGAGTCAATTTTATGTTAAACAAGCACCGATCAAGACACTAGGAGCAATTTATTTCAGTTAAAACACTGGACTATACGGTGTCAAATACCAGAAATTCAGTATTCCTCATTTGACGCGATAGAATCTTCAAAAAATAAATGAAGCAAAAACGAAAATTTGTCCCAGTATTTCATTAATTGAGCACAACGTCATAAAGACGTGTGGTAGAATTTAGGTATAGCTCCACTATTCTTAACCTCATAACTGATTTAAAACCGCTGAAATTTCGTCATTAATGAAATATCAACCCAGCAAAGTTCAATACACTCGAGGACATGTTTAGAACTTTAGGTAAAAAGAGATAAAGTGGCCCTGTGCTTAATTAAACACCACACCATAAAGACGTATGTAGGAGTGGAGGTATAGCTCACTTTTACGGTCACTACAATATTACTTCTCAATGATGAATTATGGCATTTAAACGTACAAAATAGAATGCATGAAATGAGGCATTAATTAGTTTACAGTGTTACGAAATTTTGTCAAGCGCAGACGAATTATATTGCAATTACCCTAAACCGTATAATTTTAAATTTCATTCTCAATATTCAGTTTCGGAAATAAAACAATTCAGTGTTTCAGTTGTTGTGTACTTATCTTCTTCTTTACTCTCTTCAAACACTCAATCCGACCTCCATCTTACCATGTCGACGCATGTTATACAGGTATAAACTAACATTAAACTAATTTAATTGGTCTTACCTTCTTCATAAAGGACATTACATTTGTGGGCAACATGGCTGTACGTTGTTGATATCTGGAACTGCTTCACGAAAACACGAACTCAGGAATGTGTCTTGTTAAAACAGTCACAAATTATCATACAAGGTCTGTCACCACTTCAATGCCATCACTTGAACATTCAGACTTCACTGGGAAATGAACAATAACCGTAGAGTGCAATGTTATTATTGTGCAGTAACTTTACATGCTGTTTCGCTGTTTATGGCACAGAGCACCACGAACCATTACGTCTTTCTTTGATGGTGCAGGGGGCGGGAACCGCCACCCCTTCATTACTGCTGACGCTAGGCGCTCCTCTCTTGTTTTACATTATGGTGCCTGGTGTAGAGAATCAGAGCCGGTGCAACCATTTTGTAGCTCTCCAACGAAATGGCTGACCTGTGGACAACAGACACGAAGCTATGAGAAGTGCAGACAGAAAGAATGTATAGGAACACAAGTTAGTACAAGCACAAGAAAAGGAACAAATCATTTAATCATGATTTCAAAACCTGAAATGACTTTTATTCTGACATATTTTCCGTGGGTTATTTAACAACGCTCTTTCAATTATCGAGTTTATATAGCGTAGGATAGTATGTTGGCCGGTCACGGTAGCCGAGCGGTCTAAGGCATGTACTGTCTTCGCTCGCTTGGAAACCGGGATCATGGCTTCGAATCCCACTCAGGGCATGGATGTTTAGTTTGTGTGTGTGCGTTTTTCTGTGTTTGTATACAGGTAGAGGCCTTGAGACGAGCGAGTCCTACCGAATGTGTAAGATCTAGAGAAACCGAAGTGAACGGAGAAGTTCATGGAGGTAGGCCTAGGCCCACTGGCGCTGTAGTGCCAAGGGGAAAAAAAAGGATGGTATGATTATAGAGAATTAGATGACAGGAATTAATCGTGGCCTAATCGAGGTACTATTCCGGCACTTCCTTAGAGGAACTGAGGAAAACCATCAACAATCTCATTCAGGATGGCGGTATCGTGGTCGATATTCGAACCGATAACCTCTCGCATACAATTCTATAGCAACACCTTTACACCAACCTGTTTGGTGTATTTTGACAAAATTTATTTCTCAACAGCAAGTTTAGATAAGGCTACCATTAAATTAAGCTGTCACGCACGCAGAGTTTTTCCGATAGTTTTGGCCAGTCACAGCCCTGAATCGCAAAGATGAACTTTGTGTGTATAGGGTGAGTTCGCACCTGCCCGGAACCGCTAGGATTTGCTCCAGTGACTTTAACCACATCAGTTAACTCTCGCCTACACTCACGGGCTGTTGATGTGGTCTTTTTTACTAGATAAATAACTCTATGCAGTTGAGTCACTCAGCTACTCAAGAACTTCACAGAATTTTATGGAACCGAAGATTCATTACTGTATTCACGAGAGCCCACAACTGGTCCTTATCCTGAGCCAGATCAATCCAGTCCATACCACCCCAAACCACCTCTCTCAGATCCATTTTAGTATCATTCTCCCAGTTACGTCTTGGTCTTCCTAGTGGGCTGTTTCATTCTGAATTTCCCGCCTGTGTCCTAGACATCCCTATGCATTCCTCTTCTCTCCTATTCGTGCTACATGCCATGCCAATCTCATCGTCCTTGACTTATCATTCTATCATTCTAATTATGCTTTGTGAAGAGTATAAGTTATGAAGCTCCTCATTATGAAGTTTTCTCAAACCTCCTGGCACTTTATTCTTCTTCTGTCCAAATATTTTTCTCAGCAACTTCTCATACTTCCTAAGTCTAACTTCCTCCTTTAACGTTAGAGACCAAGTTTCACACTTACAGTTTTGTATATTGTAATTTTCATATTTTTAGACAGCAGACGAGAAAGCAAAAGGTTCAGTGCCAAAGGGTAGCAAGAATTACCCTAATTCTACCTCCTCTTAATTTCCTCCTGAATCAAATTTTGATTTGCTACTGTCTTTCCCAAAAATTTGAACTGTGCCTCATTTTCAACGCATCTGTTAACTATCTTTATATCATGTTTTTTTTTTTGCCATGCATTTCTGTGTCGAGACAGCAACATTACTTAGTTTTCTCTGTGTTTACTTTTAGATCAACCTCATTATTAACATCAATTAGAGTTTCTGTGTTTTTATGGTATCTATATTATCTCCCAGTAGATTAACATCATCAGCATAGACCAGCAGCCGATGTGTCCCATTTAATTTCAGTCCAACCTGATTTTCCTGGACGTAATATAATATAGTTAATTATATCAAAACAATTTTCATTGCCTTCTTTATATAGGATGAATAAAACTAACGTTATTAAGCTTAAGCAGACGCCCTCTAGGGTTGTTAGTAGGTGCTCAACTAGCCAGGCAACTCCCTGCCTTATAAAACCCGAAAATTCATTACCGCCTTCACAAAAGCCCGCTACTGCTTTCTGCCCTGATTCAAATGAATACAATCAAATTCTCGTGTCCAGTATCATTGGCATACATTTGAATATTATTCTCCTTTCTATGCTCTTAAGTGAGTGCCCTTCCCTTCATGTCTTAGGGCTCTGTGTAGTTGTACGTATTTCTAGCAATAAGCTTTGCGGAGTGAAAACGGAAAAAAAAAACTGAAATATTTTCCTCCCCGGTTTTATTTCAATTTATTAGCAACGTACTTAAATCTGATCTCAAGGAAATCATCTCTTGAAATATGTGAGACAAAATACGATAAGAATAAAAATGATTGGACTGAACGGTGAAGTTGAACGGGCACGTTATTAGTAAGAATTATTCCTTTTAATTGAATATTCTGTTTGTGGTTTTACTAAGTTGTTCCTAGTTTGTTCTATCGAACTTTTTTCTCCTTCCTAGCAAATAAACCACTATAAAAGAATCTTCACAACTACAAAAAACGTCAGCACAGCTGCCCAAACCATATAATTAATGGAACATTTGGATATAACTTGCAAACCAAACACAAAATTAATTATGCGTAACATTACATGCCTGTTCCTTTGAAGCAACATAAAATATGAAGCATATAAAATGAATTTCAGTTTCCTTTTGTAAAATTTATAACATTTCGCCCTGCTGATTCAGACATCTCAACTACCTTAATTACAACAGAGTTCTATCGCCCATGTTGGGCGGTACAACGCACAGTCCATAGTGTCTTGGTACCTCCACGAAACACGACAATTAAATTGTCTTTCGACTCGATTTTAACGGTGACCCTTCGAAGGCCATGAACTCTATATCTTTAACATTTCTTACACAAATACGTTATTGCATAAATGAGAACGTGGGATATTTAAATAATTACTACACTGTTTTGGAAGGAAAAAGGGAAGGGCTGAGATCATCAGGAAGACCAGGAAGGAAATGGGATAATATTAAAATAGATATTAAAAAATGAACAGGAGATTTTTAACTGGATTCATTTCGATCTGTGTAGGGATAAGTGGTGTTTTTTTTAACGGTAATACCTCGATAATCAGTTTATGATGTCTTATCTGGACCGAAACATGCTGTAAATTGATGAATAAAAATATCTGTTTCTGTGACGGTGACCCTCGGTTTTTATTTACAGAAGTGAACCTTCAGATTACATAATATGAGGATATTTCTATGAGTAGAATAAGTGAAAACTGTTAGCTTCTAGAGATGGACTCTTAGTTTGTTACTTCCGAAACGTCGCAGAAAATACACTCATAACATTGAATATAAATCTAATTTAAACATTTGCCAAAGTTTCTTACTGACTAATAGATTAATGTGTTCTTAAAATACGTAAAAAAGATTTTCCAAAAATGGAAATTTGTACCATCAAACAAAAACAGAAGTTTGTCACGGATAACTTTGAAAACGTTGGCAAATATGATGAAACAAAAGACTATATCTTCTAATTCAGTGGATCTATATTTTTTTCTATGCTAGTAGGTTCTCATCGGTCCGCATCGGAACTTCCAAGTGCGACGTGTCACACCGGAACCCACGCCGCTAATGAGACGCAAGCACGGAAGGCAACCCGCAACACACAAGTGCCGTGTTTGTGAGAACCGTGAATGCATGTGTCCATTATGCTCACTGAGCTGTGTGACTCACGTGCTTGTAGTCTAGTATTTCAGTTGTATTCATGTGCTGCCTTGTATATCTGTTAATATTTAATGTGACATCACCAGAGGATCTTAATGTACTTTTAGATAATAAATATTGATAAGTCAGAAGATAATGGTTTTAAAAAATCGATAAAACACATTAAAATTTTGCGTGGTCTAAGGTATGAATGGCCTTCGCCCGCTCAGACATAGGGGTTTTGTGTTCGAATCCCACTCAAGGCATGGATATTTGCGTTTTCCTGTGTTTGTGTTGTTCTGTGTGGAGGTAGCGGCTTTGAGACAGGCTGATCCCCCGTCCAAGGAGTCCTACCGTCTGTGTATAGATAAGGAACTGAAAAAGCGTCCAATGTCCTAAAAAGGCTGTAGAGCTATAGATGGACGGACGGATAATAGGAATTTTCTTTAGGTGCTGGGTTTGAGGTTCTGTAAGCGACGGTTGCAAAGATTTCTGTCTTCTGGGGTACAACGCTGTGTAGTCCAGTGAATGTCAACTATCATTTCGGAGGAATATATTGCCTCTATCTTCATGGTCGAAGAGTAAATGAAGCAAAAATCCAGCATCGAGCTGGCCAAAAGAAAAGCATTATATCCCAGGAGATAGAACTCTTCCGTGTACAAGGTATGTAAGGCATAAGTTTGCCGTCTTTATATCTCAGACATAAGAACTGAGTTACGAGGAGAATACCGCTGAACGTTCCTAACTTCGGGGATATAACGCACTGTAGTCCGGGAAACGTGTAACTCTTCATTGTCACAGATGTCGAAACCTCAAATATAAGGACACGTGATAGAATTAAAAGAAGTACACCACTGAAAACATCTGCGTTCTCCAATATAACGCCATGTTGTCCTAAGGACAAAGGATTCTTCATAGTTACCGTTATGAGAACCTCAAATCCGACAAAAATATCGCTACTACACTGCTTAGGCACTTCAATTATCGTAATTTATAATATTACTGTCGTGGCATTAAACATTTATGTAAAATAGCGTCTATTGGGGATCTCATTACTTCGATATAGCAGAGTTACGAGAGTATATTTTACATTTAAGGAATAAACCGAAATTAATCCACGTTTACTACACGATCCATACCAAATTGTATCTCACTCTGCCAAGTTCTGAAAGATTCAAGGCGGCCAGGCATCACCTCAGAATTATGCATTCAGTTTCTGCCGAGTACATCGATGTTCAGCTGAACTGATATTTATTTACGAGTATATCAGATCATACAGCAACGAAGAACTGCATGGCAGTGAGTAAGGTACTGTAGAAAACATCGATGGAATTGATCGTGGCCAACTTCGGGTTACTATACCGAA